ACCCCCACAACAGTGTCACCCATGTTACCCTGCCCTTTAATCCTTACCCATAGGCTCTCAACTTGCTCTTCATCCACCCCGAGGCAGAGCTCCATGCAGTCCAGCTGCTCCCTCACATAAAGGGCAACTCCACCACCTCGCCTTCCTGGCCTGTCTTTCCTAAAAAGCACATAGCCATCCGTGACAGCATCCCAGTCATGTGAGCTATCCCACCATGTCTCTGTAACTGCAACGAGATCATGGCCCTGCGACCGCACACAGATCTCTAAACTCTTCCTGTTTATTCCCCATGCTGCGTGCATTGGTATACAGGCATTTCAGAGAGCCAATCAAGCATGTAAGCTTCCCAGGAGAGGTGCAAGAGGAGCCTCCATAGCCATGTTGCATGCTGGGTCAAAAAGTCAAAGCCCTTCCTTTACCCCCATCAAATTTTCAGCAATTGCAAAAAATTGCAGATTGCTAGTCCTGCTCTGTGCTGAAGCTTTCATTTTTTAGATACGTGTCAAAGTAGTAGTAATTCAGTCTGATAACTGTGAAGCTCTCTACTTTCTGGACAAAGCCATACTGTTTCTGTCATTCTCCTTGTCCCATACCCTGGAATCTCCTCATGCTTGCACTTACGGAGCTGGAGGTTCCTGGCTGCTTTCTGTGTTCCTGAGCCTTTGTGTCAGACTCTTTCCAGTGCTGTTCTCTGCTGCTCCTTTTTTTTTTTTTTTTTCACAGTAGCTGCAGAGGAAAATGAGGCCTAGTTGGTGTAGATTTTTCTCTGCTGCTATTCACTCAGTAACAACAGTGAAAATTTCCTGCTTCTAGGTCTGTTGTACTTATAGAAAACTCTGAGAAGCACAGGGTCTGTCTTTTCAAAACTAAAGAATACGTTGAACTGCATTAGACAGGCTCTTTAAGCTCAAACAGCAGAGAATAGGGCCTCACACCTTTAGTTTAAAGTCAGGCCATGAAAATCACTGGTTGCTTTTGCTAATTTAGGCCAGAAGATATATTGACTGAAATGGTAGGAAGGTGTTAGGTCAAGCGTGTTGGTGAGTTTCTCAGAGACCACAGAAGTTTTGAAGTCAGTCACAAATTTAAAAAGTGTTTTTTGGAACTAAAGGTCATTGGCAACTTCTCTCTTACCTGGCAATGGAAGTTAAGAATTAGGCAGGTGAAATGTTTAAGGCCTTTATTAATTTATTTATAAAAATGAGATTGTCAGGTGAGATTTCTTTCAAAGCCCTTTTTTCCTCTCTATGCTGGCATGCAGAGTAGAAAAGGCATTTATTTTTCTTCTGCTAATGAGGTTGCCTGCACAGTCACAAACTAATATTTAGGAGTTAATGTGTTCTTAGGAAAAATCTGCTTTTGCACAGCATCATCTTGGTGTCGCTCAGCTGAACTATGGCTGCTCCCTATTTCTGCTTCTTGTACACTTTTCCAGTCAACTGCCAAGAAAATTTCATCCAGATGTTTCTTACAAGGAGTTTAATCATCAGTGTGGAGTCAGGAATCTTTGTTGTCTTATTTTGCAGTTGAGGTCAGAGATAGACGTCTGAGGGGGGATGGCATGTAAAAGGGTTAAATGCCCTTCCCTTCCCAAGAGATTCATGAGCAAATGTTTCTTCTGGCAAAAGTAAACATAAATTATTTTATTCCTTTTTTTGAAAGGAATTTCATCCAAGGAGATTTATTGGGCTCTAGCCTCCCCTTTAACATATGGTTCTCTTTTAACATGATAAATATCCATTTGTACATGATCATAAATAGGTAATAGATTTTAAGGATTTCTTCCTGAGTTGTGTCCAGCTTTGTACTAATTAAAGGGAGAGTAACACAAATGTGCATTACTGTCTCACTTTGAAGCCAAGGTAATCATTGAATTTCAAATACCAGCAACGGCTAACCAAGCACGATCTAGTTGCTGTTGAAAATACAGACTCCTGAATGTATTGTAAAATAAAACAAAGGCTGATAACCAGTGACCTGTGTTGCCCCATGCCCATGTTCCCGGAGCGTGGAGATAACTTATATGGGCGCTGTGGGGGCTTTACATACAAAATTAGCATTGTATAGGTTATAATCATAGCAAATGTTAACTTATATGATAAGCTTCTTTTTCAGATAAAATTAACTGATCCTGGGTGTTGAATTTCAAATGCTGTTTTGTCACTCTTAAAAGAAAAATAAGAATCACCACATGTTTCGGTTGCTTCTTTTTACTCTTTTTCTTTCAACGTTGAAGTATGTGGTTTGCTCATATAACAAAGCAAAATGGCCAGCTCCAGAAAGAGAAGCATATCAAGCTAAGGAAAAGAAAAAAAAACAAAAAACAAAAAACCCAAACCCAAAAAACACACACACATACACAGTCTGATTGAAATGGATGTGCTTGGGGACAATAAGTGACACAACAACTTGGTGATTTTTTTTTTTGCTTTAGGAGGGAGCAGTGCCTATGGGGTGTTGGGGAGATATGAAACACACTGCTGTAGGAAATACCATTTTCCCATGAAGTGCGAGCAGTTTGTATCTCTGGATTCCATCATATACTGTAGATGAGAAAAGGTAGGACAGTAGAGGATTTTTTTCACTATAGAGCAAGAGTCTGTCTGGAGACTTTTGTGAACCAGAGGAACTGTAGACAACACGAATGATTAACTGTCCTTTGTTTCCAGAATACCTTTTAGCCCATTTTTCT